TGAGATGTAGCAGATGTGTGCCCATGTATTTATTTCTGCCCTGTTAATATCTTCTCTGTGATTTTCTTTTTCATGGTGGGTCTACTGCACAGCTGAGTGATGAGCTAAAACAGCATCTCAAGCAGACCATGACAGAAAACTACGCACAGCCCGGAAAAGACCTCATCACACATGCTGTTGACAGGCTCCAACAAGATGTAAGAGAGATCACTGCTTTATTCAATATTGTGCTGAATGATCCAGCCAGCAATTAACTGCAGGGGTTAGATAGCTTATTTGCCATACATGCCATACATAGGTAGAGTGGTGGCACTGTGGCTAAGGATCTGTGCCTGTGGCTGGAAGGTTGCTGGTTCAAATCCTGCAGCCTGCAAAGGAATCCTACTCCGTTGGGCCCCTGAACAAGGCCCTTAACCCCAACTGGCTCAGGAGCGCCATATAAATGGCTGACCCTGCACTCTGACCCCAAGCTTCTATCTCCCCATCTGTGTGTGTCATGGAGAGCAAGCTTGGGTATGCAAAAAGACAAATTCCTAATCCAAGAAATTGTACAGGGTTAATAAAGTGATCTTCTCTTATCTCAGCTCTATTCTTAGGCATCCAAAACAGACCAGACCAAGTTTCACTTTTTAAAAACTGCAAAGATAAATGATTCAACCAAGACTGGTGAAAGGTAGTCAGCAAGCTTACATGAACAAAATGTGCAGTCCTTATTGTCAGTCTGAGCATTTTATGTTTGCTATATCTTGGGTTATAATTATATAATGAGTAATACATGACTGTCTTATTATAGATCATGCATTGTGTAGTATTTAGTATTGCTTCAACTACTTGCTTTCCTAACTAGTGGACATCAATGTGATTGTCTCAAAGCATACAGTAAGAAAAGAAGCAGCATTCAATGAATTTGGAGTGGTCTCCTCATATTCATTGAATCCTATTTAACAGATACCAGGAAGTATCTTAAATTCTTCTGTCCAACTGCAATTTATGATACCACTATGAGAAAAAAAGTAATGTTTCAAAGTAGAAGCAATAAAAGTAAGCAGTGGTATTATCTTAAAATAATGCAATAATTATTATTATCTTATTTACTGCCAATGTGAATTTATTTTTTTTCTTCTGAATTTGTGACAGGTGTTCAGAAACACAACAGTGCACAAGTTTATTTTAATGTGATTCACTTTGACTGAGGATGTTATGGCACACAGTTCATATCCTAGCTATAAAAACAACACGTCAATACATACTACCATTCACCTACAAGGAACCATAACTGATTGTTGGAAAAAATAACCAGATACTCAAGATGGTGAAAGATGGAACAAACATAAGAATGTTGGAAAGGAGATGAGGCCATTTGGCCTACTTAGGCTGCCTGGTTGCTAGCAGTGTATTGATCTGAATTTCCCATTCAGTTATTTCTTAAGAAGAAGCCAAAATAAAACATTATTTGCTTTGGCAACAATGTTGGATATTCAGTACCATACTCTCTCAAATATGGGAATATTGAAGAATTGTTAACATACCCTTGTAATGTCCATTCCAGAACCATTTCTGTTCTGTTAAACATGTTCAGACATCTTCATCCTATGTTACCAAGATAACAGACCATTCATCTTTAACTACACAACTTGTTTCCAAAGATGTCCAGCAAACTACTATATGCCTTATCATCACCAGACCCTCAGTTATCAATGGACTTTGATGGTGGCCAATTCTAAATCTCTGTCGTGCATGCTGTGTTCAATGTTGGATTTGCTGACACAATAACCTATTATGGACCAAATTGAACGCCTTCGGGATAAGTTCAATTGTTGCATTTTACAGCCACATTATCAACCCACATACCATAGCGCAGTTCTTGCAAGCTTTGCAGCATGTGAGGTTATGTGAGTTTCTATTGCCTCTCAGTAGATTTTATGAATATTCTGTGCAGATGTTTACAGCTGTTTGTATGATATCATGATTTCTGTTGCCTATCCACACTAAAATGTATTTGTGTATTAGCTCTTCTTATCTGTTACCAATACTAGATAATAGCTTAAATGAGAATTCACAGAGTTTTGACAGTGGTACAAGAGTCACATTGATACATCTCTGTACTGTATTTACATTTATTACTTTTTTATAAAGCTGTAGAAAATAAAGCCCTTTTTAGATCTTATGATATTTTGTTTAATGGACAATGAATACAGTAGTTTGCAAGCTAGTTTAGACCACTCCGCAAATAAGATATGTACATTTATTTGTCAGATGCTTGTCAAAGATCAGAGATTAGAGATGGAGTAAAAAGTATTTCCTGGAAATCATGATAGTCTGTTTTTATGAGTTAAATATATTATCCACATAATTAATTGACACAGATAAAAGAAAGGAAATATGTAGATTTCAAATTTCAAAATGCATGAAACCTTTTAGAACTTTTGTTGCTTAACATCAAGACCCCTGACTGCATTCAAATCAAATTAGTTTCAAGTTTGATAAAGTTCTTAAATCATATATCAAATTAATATTTTCTGCTTCTACCTTAATAAAAAAGTGTGGTAGCACACATTTGTTTTTTTTCTTTAACAGCATAAGCGTTTTGGTGGGATCAAGTTAATATTTTACCCGAAACCTAAAAAACAGTTACTTAGGACAGTACAGTAATCCTTTGATATACAAGCCTAATATGTTCCTGGAAGACTACTCGTAAGGTGAAAACTCATATAGCAGAAATAATTCCCATTACTTCCTGTGTAATAATCTTTAATTGTTTCCAGAACTCAAATATTCCCCCAGACTCGCAAACTTCACCTTAATGCAGCAGAAGTTGATACTTAAGTATGAAAACAACACCATTCTGGTTATTTACGATGCTTAAACTCAATAGCCAAAGCATGAACAACAGGTAGGAAAACAATAGAATTCTTGCTCATTTAGTACTGTGTAGTAGTACTTGTTACAGTTATTAGCAAATACATAAACATAAGATACTATCATGTATTAATGCACTTAACAGGCAAGCCTTTGTTACAAAAAACTAAAATGTAATAAAAATTAAACAGTAAAATCCTCTTCTGAGAAGATAAGAGAAAAGAATAATGCTTTACGAGAGCCCAGGTTGTAAGAGTGGAAATATGCCCATTAAATGAAAAAACAGGCAGGAATTACTATATCTCTTATAAATGAAAAACTGTATCGTTGCTGCTCATATAGTGCAGGATTATTGTCTGCCTGCTTTTTTCATAACAGCAAACAGCTGATACAGTCAAGAGTGACTATCTCATAGTAGAAGTGGGTTAACATACCAATTCAATGTGCATTTTCTTCAAAAAAGCTTTTACTGTGAATTTGCTTTTAATTGCTCTTGCTTCTTTACTATTTTTTATGTCTATGTTTTCCAAATTAAACACATAAATACAAAGAGTATATTTGGCTCATTTTAATTGCTATACAGAAAAAAAAAAGTAAATTGCACTGGACAGATGCAGCAATTTGCACAGTATGAAGGACCTGATATTGCCAAGAAAGCTTCTCAGTTAAAGGTGCATTCCCTGTCTGTTGGAAAAAGCTTATCTTTGTGTCTGAACTTCAGCAGAGGCTCACTAAAGCTGCAAGCCAGGCATCCATTAAGTTGAATTAATGTTGCTAAAAGCCTGGCATGTTTGGGTTTTATTTCTGTTCAATAGTTACAGTATTCCGTCAAGGCTGTTTTTCTGCAGTGCTGAACAGTTAGTAAGTGATGCCGTGAGGCACATTTTGTAGTAGTGTGTAATATTGCTTTATAAAAGAAGAAGCATTTGGATCACAGGCAACACAGGCACACAAACAAAATGTCAGAACTTTCTAGATGTTCTTTTCACATTATCTGAATGGGTACGATACATTGCTCAGCTTTTTTTTTCTTTACATTTTAATTAAACAAAATTATGCAATGGAATTTCCTACGGTTTGTCATGAATTCATTTTTCGGGTAACAAACAGAAAGATGTGTCAGTAAAAATTTTTTTAATAAAAAAAATAAAAGTTTTACAAATTGGCAGGACAAGTCATAAGGAAAACAATATTTTGTTTAAAGTATTGCAGCTTCACTACAATCAGCAGAGCCTCTCCTTCATCCTTAGTGATTAAGTTAAAAAATAAATGAATGTAGTCTTCTTTGATCATATCTAATTATCAGGCAGGTAAATCTGGATATTTTTTCTTGATGTTTTGTAACACTGCAGCAATGTTAGAAGAGATTGTTTTGATTCATTCTTATTCTCTTTACAAATGTCACCTTTTCTGATATATTGGTACACAAAACAAAATAGAACACACAGGTCTAATTCATTTAATTAAAGATATCAAAGAGAAAATGCAGAAAATGTGAGCAGATGAAAGAAAAATACACTTTTGGCATTAATTGTGACACATTGCGATAAGGGCAAGAGACTAACAAATACTGCCTATACACTTGCACACTTAGTGTTTGACACATTTATTATTTTCCTTAATACAGTAACAGTGCACAAAATGAAGGTTGTTAATTAACAAAGGTTTGTGTTGCTCCACACAAAACATCTAAATAGCTGTACATTTTTGCTTATGTGCTATGCATGATATGTGCTGCATAGTTGTGAATCTACTGTACAGTAGTATGACTGTGCACACTTGGTATGTTGTGCGTTTGAGTAATAAAATACGTTGCAAAAGCCTTGTTTAAAATGAGATATGAAATAGTTTGTGGAGTTTGTTGTCAAATGCTGATATGACTTGATCATAGAAGCGACATGTTTGAGGAGCATCGGGCAAGGGAAACTGAGCCTTGGTGTAAGTACAGCAGCAACATGTTTATGAATAAAGGATATGAATCAGTGTATAGTGGTCTATAACTGTAATCCACTGAGACTTGCATTATCCTACAAGAAAAAAATTACCCTTTCAGATTGGCTTACTAGCACTGGAAATTAGTTGGTTGAAGCACCTTGTTATTGTATCACTGAATACTAAGGTTACTGTACCTATAATTTTGAATCACTAGTAGTAATAATTTTTCATACAAAGTCTTTGTAATATAACATTCTTCCTCCAAACTGTGCATTCACATATGGATTCATTCACTTTTTTTCAACCAGCACCAGTGATCAAGTTGTGTTGAATAGAGGACTTCAAAGTTACTGTATTTCACGCTGGCAACTGCAACCTGGATACACTGTTGCTTGAAAAACAAAGGATCCCACCAAATTCCATCAGCCAAATACTTGATAAAAATCCATGTTCTGCTCAGCTAATGATATAACCCAGATTCAAACCAGTCATGTCTGCTTTGTAGTACTTGACCTGTGCACTAAAGCACAAGTTCACTGCATGAACCATTTGGAAGCCTGTGGGACTATTCATTGATCTCCTTTAATTGTCAAGGAAAACACCATCTCTTTTTCAGTTCACAAATTATTGCAAGTAAAAAAGTTATTTGTTTCATTGACGTCTTCTTTTCATTCATTCTAGTTCAAATGCTGTGGCAGCAACAATGCTTCTGACTGGCAGTACAGTGTATACATCAGCTCCCCAGAAGCAGAGAACCGTGTGGTGCCTGATAGCTGCTGTAAAACCATCACGCCTCACTGTGGACTTAGAGCTCATCCATCAAACATCTACAAGGTGGAGGTAGGCTAATCCTGGGAGTAATACTCTGACACTGTTTTGACTACATTCTAAGCTTTATTTTATAGAGTTCAAGTAGGTAGCTGTGTCAGCATGCGTAGGCTGCAAAGGCACAAGTAAAGGTTTATTCCATACTGAAAAGAACAGACACACAACATTTCGACTTCTGAGTCTTCTTCAGATGAGTCTTCTTCACACACCCATGAAACATTGTCTCTTTTCTTTTTTGCATGGAAGAAACCTTTACTTGTTTATTTTATTTATACTTAATGGTAAGATCTTTCAGGTATATCATCAATTAATATTGTGTTTTGAAAAGGTGCTGTCATTTTCTCTTTAGGGTCTAGCATGAATCCTGTTGGAGGTTGATATTTATTTTAGAGTGCTTCTTGAGCATAAATGGTTTGTTGGGCAGGAGCGTCTCCCAGTTTTTGTAGTACTGTGATCTCCAAGTAACTATCCCTCTGCCAATCAGTCTATACCACATAACCCTTTTGACCAAACAAGAAGCCCAATTTTTTCAGCTGTGTTGCATGGTGTAGTGAGACAAAGTATCTTCCTCATGTATGTAACAGAAGTGTCAACTGAACGTGAGCTCTCAGATATTTTGTCATGGGTCCAGAGCTCCAATTGGTACTCCTCACTGCCAAATATCTTTGTAGCAGATGGCGTAATAAAAACTGTTGAACAAAGCACTTGTACATTATATTCTGGCCATCAGCTATCGTTTAGTATCACTTAACGGAAATATTTTCTACATTTTGAAGTTCAAAAATATGAGATGAAGAAGGAAGGAGACAATACAATATAGCACTGCCTTTATTGTTGATGTAACACATAATTAAGGGTGATGTTTGTAGGTTCATAATTCAAGTAGGCCCGTCTAGTGCATTAAAACTCCACCTTTATTTTCTCATAAGAATTAGAGAAGATGTCATTCCTGAAGAATTAACAGCATCTGTACTATCCTGCTGAGCAGTAAATGCTTTAAATACCTTGTTCATAATTTAATGTTCCACATAAATTTTATGTTCCACATAAAGTTCAAAGTAGCTTTATCTTTATTCCAATATTTTTAACAAGTGAATAATATTGCAGTTTGCATATAGGTGGATTTTGAAATGAATTTGTTTTCTTCTGTTGCTGCATATTGCTGGTCCTTGCTGTACACTTGAAGGCCAAATGAAAACAGCACAAGAATGATTTAGCTTAGAGCTCCAATTGAACATTAAAACTTGCAATATTCACATCTGAGATTGCTTTGAATTAGTAATATTTTTTAAAACAAATTGAATATGTATACATTTTTTATGGTGATTTTGATATGTATTTTTCTCCCTAATTCTTTTATGCTGAGCACTGTCTTTCCCATAGTTTATTGCTTTTTATGGCCCTCTAGGAAGAATGAGCAATCTTTGGATTGTTTCCATCAAGTGTTATTCCTCTTATATTGTGTTGGTGACTGTATTGGAAACAAAAGGGCTTTGTGGTGATGTCAGCAGCTCATGTCTGAGTAGGCTGAGTAAAGATGAAAAACTTACATTTATTTAGCATGAATCTTTTTGTTACTATTTTTGTTTGTTTGTTTTTGTTTGTTCCATTAATGCTGTGTCGTTAAAAAAAACGATTTCAATGAATATATATATATAACTATAGTAATGTTTTGCTGTGTTAAAAAGCAAGCGAACAAATAGCCTACATTGAAGATCTTTCAGGCATATTTATTATGATTTATATTGTGCCTTGAAATGGCGCTGTCTTTTTAATTCAGAAATATGTTGTCTTTGGTTTTATCCTGATAAATGATTGGCCTAAAAAATGTGTTTGAAGAGGTTTTTTGGTCATCTATATTTAAGACTAGACTGAAATCCTTCAAAGATTTTATTTATTTTTGATTGAACATACATTTTTAAGGTTTTAGTTTGAGTAGTGTTTTGTTGAGTCCTTCTGTTAAGATGTCTTTTTGACAGAGGACTGTTTTGCTGTTTGCGTTTTAATCCCTGGAATAATTAATTGTGAGCAGTGAGGTGGGGAGTATAGATCTCCTTTCTCTTGAATTGGGCCAAGCCATATTTCTTAAAGAAAACCACATGAAAGGCTTCGTTTGAGCTCATTTCCCTCCTCCTCTTAAAGCATTGCAATGATATTAACTGTGATGATATTAACTGAGGATTTTTTGTCAGGTTCAGTAGTCAAATTAAATGATTGTTTAAATGGAGTCCTGTGCTTTATTTAACCAGAAAAGAAAACAGAATAAATCCTGTACTTTATTTAACCAGAAAAGCCAATCCGACATAGGCTCTAACCACTTCTCCAAACTATTGTACATTGTATGTTTTTTTTCTTTTTTTGTAAGTAGTGAAACCATGCAGTATCAAAATTTAAGAATGAAATTAGAATTTCTGCCATATGATATTTTTTATCAGCACATTTTCTGAGTTTTTCTAGGATTTTGTTCCTGAAACTCAGTCTGAAGCTTGTTGAATAATTTAAATGTTGATTCAAAATGTAGACAATCAAAAATGCTATCAAGACAGGTTGGAAAAAAAAATCCCTATTAGATGTATGAAGCCTTAAAAAATACATGAGGTGCTCTGTCATTTACCAAGTCACAGCGGTACTCCACAATGAAGGCAGGGAAAAAAGTACAAATATAAACTAAACTCAAACTTTTAGCACATGTGGAAGTTAAAGGAACTTGAATTACTGCTGTTTAGGGTGTTTGTGGTGAGTGACAGGAGTTTTATTGCCCATTTACAGGCTGAGGTCAGCTTCAACTGGAGATTTTCACAAACTTAATCGGAGAATAATTTTACTTGCTAAATAAGAAATCTGTTCTTTTACTGTTATCGTCTGACATTTTTCTTTCATGCTCCGTCTAACCCAGATTCGTTGATTTCCACATTTTCATTCAGCTGTGAGTATTTCGTTTCCTCTCCACCTGAGCCCACAAATCTAAAATCCAGACAGATGGCAGTTATTTTTTAACCTTTTCCTTCTTATGTTTTAGTTGCAAGTGCCCAGCATCTGTTTTTGAAAGCACTTGTGTTAAATTGGGTGACCTGTATTTGTGTTATACCCTGGCAAATTGTGGAACCTCCTGAAAATTTAACTTGAATTCATTTAAGTAAGGAAATATATATATATATTTAACATTACTTTATTAACCCTTTACAATTTCTTGCATTAGGAATTATCTTTTCGCATACCCCAGCTTGCTCTCCATGAGACACACAGACAGGGAGAGAGCTGGGGTCAGAGCGCAGGGTCTGCCATTGTAAGGCGCCCCTGGAGCAGTTGGGGTTAAGGGCCTTGCTCAGGAGCCCAACAGAGTAGGATTCCTCTGCCGGCTGCGGGATTTGAACAGGCAATCTTCCAGCCACAGGCGCAGATCCGTAGCCACAGAGCCACCGCTCCACCCCAATTATATATATATAATATATATAATATATATAATTTTCTATTTGTTGTAAAATGCACATAACATCTTTTGTTGTTTGGGGAAATGTGTATACA